AGAAGAAGAAGAAGAAGAAGAAGAAGAAGCAGCAGCAGCAGCAGCTTGGAAGGAGCTACCAGGAAGGACAGAGATGCATGCAGAGGCACGCCGTGCACCCTCCCCACCATTGCATTCTTTGCTCTTCCTGTTTCACCATTGCCTCCATCAGCCCTGCTGCATGCAGACCTGCCCCCATTAAGGAGGAAAGCAGCCCCACTCCTTGCCACTGTCACGAGGGGGAAGGAAAACCGCCCCCTGCGCCCCTCCCTTCCCTACCTGGAGACCCAGACGGCCCCTCCTGGCTGCCCACAAAAGCTCTGCAGGCTGAGTTTTTCGTTGACAGGGGGGCAGCGCCTCCCCCTCTTTCACCCCCTTGGTATCGTCCCCGCCATGGGTGACGCCTCGGGTTGGACTGTACTATTACGATAGGCAGGAGGGGCCAGCCAGCCTTCTCCCGAGCACCCGTCATTGGGGTTTGGCGGAAGGTCCCGTCGCTTAAGGACCATTTGGGGGCGTCTAAAAGAACTGCCTGTGCGGCCCTTCGATTCTTTTTTTCCCCCCTCTCTCTTCAGCAAGCGAGATATCATTTTCCTAAAAAGCACCAATAAATGTGTCCCTTAATCGAGATGATTGTTACTTAGTTTGCGTCCTGGTCGACTCTAACATTTTTTAAACAGGCGGCTAGGTAAACGCCTTTGTGATCTCATTGATGCTACAGTATATAGATCGGGAGTCTCTAATCTTGGTCACGTTTCAGACTTGGGGAATTCTGGGAGTTGAAGTCCACAAGCCTTAAAGTGGTCAAGTTTGGAGACCCCTGTTATCGATTGTCATCTATTTAAGAAGAGGCTGGTCACTAGACTAGTCACTTGTCTGAAATGGTATAGGTTCTCCTGCTTCAGCAGGGGGCTGGGCTAGAAGACCTCTAAGGTCCCTTCCATCTCCTACCTATTCTATTCTATTCTATTCTATTCCATTCCTCCAATATTCTATTCTATTCTATTCCATTCCATTCCTCCAATATTCTATTCTATTCTGTAATTCTATTCTATTTTCTTTATTCTATTCTATTCCATTCCTCCAATATTCTATTCTATAATTCTATTCTATTCTATTTTTCTTTATTCTATTCTCTATTCCATTCCTCCAATATTCTATTCTATAATTCTATTCTATTCTATTCTATTTTTCTTTATTCTATTCTCTATTCTATTCCTCCAATATTCTATTCTATAATTCTATTTTATTCTATTTTCTTTATTCTATTCTATTCCATTCCTCCAATATTCTATTCTATAATTCTATTCTATTGTATTCTATTTTCTTTATTCTATTCTCTATTCCTCCAATATTCTATTCTATTCTGTAATTCTATTTTATTCTATTCTCTATTCTATTCTATTTTCTTTATTCTATTCTCTATTCTATTCCATTCCTCCAATATTCTATTCTATTCTATTCTATTCTATTCTATTCTATTCTATTCTATTCTATTCTATTCTATTCTATTCCATTCCTCCAATATTCTATTCTATTTTCTTTATTCTATTTTCTATTCTATTCCATTCCTCCGATATTCTATTCTATTCCTATTTCTATTGGCTACTACAGTAGAAAGTACATTCCTGTTGAATTTCTGCCTACATATAGGGCCCTAGATCGCAAAGGAGATGGGATACAGGAACCTCTGATTGTAAACTCAGGGAACCCCCAAACTCTGGAAATTCATTACTATTGTATTTCTTCAAGAGAACAATGGAAGACACTCTTGTTCACCACAAACTGCCTTTGAGTTTGCTGTTGTTATAGTTTTCCTTTTATTGCAATGGCAGACAGACCTTTTTCCTTCTCTTGTAAACTGCTCTGGTCTCCTTGGGGAGAAAAGGCAGTATAGAAACAGTCATTATGATACCAGATCAACATCCAAGAGCTGCTAAGCCATGATTCCCTGTAGCCAGTCTGTGAATAATGGCAGAAAGAAGGAAAGAAACACAGCCTATTGTGGTCAGTCAGACTCAAAACGTTTTGATGTGAGATTAACTTGGCATGGAGAGAGAAAACACAAGTCACTTTTCAGGATAGCTTTTTAAAATAAAATTTGTACTGCTTTTAAAATAATCACACCAAGAAAAAGCAGAACATATATACGTTATAAAAATACGTAACGAGTACTTGAAAACAAATGAAACAAAATACGAAAGAATAAGATGTAGAGTATATCTAATTAGAACAATAAAGTTACAGTTCTAAATCTAATCTGGTACAAACATTATTTCTATAATACTCTTATATGACTATATCTTTTAATATTGGAGGTCTTCTAATCCAGCCCCCTGCTGAAGCAGGAGAACCTATACCATCTCAGAGAAGTGACTGTCTAGTCTATTCTTAAAAACCTCCAGTGATGGAGCGCCCACGATTTCTGGTGGCAAGCTGTTCCACTGGTTGATTGCCCTCACTGTCAGGAAGTTTCTCCATAATTCCAAGTTGCTTCTCTTCTTGATCAATTTCCAACCATGTTTCTCGTCCTTCCCTCTGGTGCTTTGGTGAATAACCTGCCCCCCCTTCCTTGTGGCAGCCCCTCAAATACTGGAATACTGCTATCATCTCTCCCGTTTCTTCTTTTATTTTTATTTTATTTATTTTCTTTAGAGTAGGCAAACCCAAGTCCCGCAGCCGTTCTTGGACCTCTGGACGCCGCTTCCAGAAATCCATTCTGAGCCTCGGAGGCCTCCCCCGGACATCCGGAAGCGGCATCCACACAGAGAATCGGTTGTTCACGTATCCGAACCCCACCACTGCTTATGACCCAGTCTGGAATCCCAATGGTTGGGTCTCCCTCTGCGGTCTTGTGACCCAACTTTGTGTGGCTTGGCAATATGGACACGTTTTACGGCGGCTTGCAGCATCCTGCCATGGCAGGACCGCATTTTTATGATTACAGTACTTCCTTCCTTCTGGTTTTCGGCAAAAGCTGCCTCCTTGGCGAACTACCGCTTTTGCTTCGCAACTGCAACCTTCACTTCACCACCAGCACAAAACAAGTTGTAGAATTGAGTTGGGGATGATATATATATATATATATAAACACTAAATCATTTTTTAGGGGGAGAAAAACCCTCAGTGACTGAATTTCAGTCCGAAGCTTAAAAGAATATAGGAATAGCACCTTTAGACCAGGGCTTTTCAACCTTTTCACCCATTTTACCACTTTTAGGATATGGCAACATCCGAGTACCACCAGTCGCCTAGCAAGGTGTCAAAAACTTGATGACCCCCCCAAAAGGAAAAAAGTGATAAAGTACAGGTAGCCCTCGACTTACAACAGTTCGCTTAGTGACTGTTTGAAGTTACAATGGCCCTTAAAAAAGTGCCCCTCCAAGCCACAGCCGAGCAAGACACCTGCCCGCCCGCCCGGCGGCGCTCTTCCTCCTGTCCGAAGTTTTCATTGTTGTGAGCATTTCTGTTGAGGATTGGCAGCAGGGGTGGGGGGTGTTTGGTTTTTATTCCCCCCGTCTGCTGGGTGGTTGCAGCAGGTTTTGGTCACTTCACATGACCCTGGGACACTGTGACCGTCGTAAATATGAATCAGTTGCCAAGCATCTGAATGTAAATCACAAGACCCTGGAGAGGCTGCAACATCCCAGCTGATCGGCGCTTCTTCTGGGCTCAGCAGAAGCGCCAGGATCAGCGCTGAGTTCCAGCTGGATCCTGGCGCTGATCCTGGTGCTTCCGCTGAGCCCTGACAGCCCCGAAGAAGCGCCAATCAGCTGGAAAGCGGCACTGATCCTGGCGCTTCCGCTGAGCCCTGACAGCCCTGCAGCTCCAGCCGTCTCTCGCTCAGGCTTGTGCGGTGCTGCCACCGGTTCAGCTCCTTCCCCCCCCGCTACTACTTTTCTAGTGATGGTCGCGTACCCCCTGCCAGGTGCCAATGTACCACAGGTGGTACCCGTACCACTGGTTGAAGAGCCCTGCTTTAGACTATTGCCACAATACGTAGAGGGGAAAAAAAACCTGGCTGAATTTAATTATTGGATTTAATGAACTGGAGTGTCTATTAAGCAATACGTTAAATATAAACGGCATCTTTATTGAGACCAATAGGCAGCTTCTTCAGAAGCTCTCCTCAGATTGGGTCCCGAGTGCAAAGCGGTCTTCAGTCCGTTGGCTTTAGACGCTTAACCAGATTTTTCTGAAGACGATTTCAACCGAATAACAGCAGCAGCACAATTGTCACCGTGTTCACTCCAATTAATGGCACTGAAAAAAAAAAAGAGAAAGAAAAGGGTCATTTCAAACAACAGCCTGTTGTATTAAACTCAAAAGAATCGCTAAAGGGGGGGAAAAAAACCCCATCATTTCTCTTTTCTCCGTTCCTTTGTGGTTTTGATAATTTTTCAGAACCCGACTTAAATGGGACAAGAACAAGGCTTTAATGAAACGGTCCGTGGCAAAGTTCGCTTCCAAAAAAATCTTTCTAAATTGCTTTTGACCCTGGGATGCTGCAACCGTTGTAAATACATCCTAGTTGCCAAGTGCCTGGACTTTGATCACCTGACTACAAGGATGCTGCAACAGTCATAAATGTGAGTCACTTTTTTCAGTGCAGCTTTAACTTTGAGCAGTTGCTAAATGAATAGTTGCCAAGTTGAAGACTATCTTAATGGCTTTTCTTCCAATAATAAGTTATCTGTATCTGTGTTTACGTTCTTTCTTGCTTTTTAAACATACATTATCCAGCTCAATGGGAGCTGTCTGTCTGTTTATCATCATCTGTCTGTTTCTGTCTATCTATCTATCTATCTATCTATCTATCTATCTATCTATCTATCTATCTATCTATCTATCTATCTATCTATCTATCTATCTATCTACCTACCTACCTAACCTATCTATCTCTGTCATCTCTATGTCTGTCTTCTATCCATCCATCTATCCATCCATCCATCTGTCATGTCTATCTGACTATCTCTGTCATCTCTATCTCTGTCTGTCTTCCATCCATCCGTCTTTCTGTCTGTCTATCGACCTACCTAACCTATCCATCTGTCATCTCTAACTCTGTCTCCTATCCATCTATCCATCCATCCATCCTACCTATCTCTGTCATGTCTGTCTTCCATCCATCCATCCGTATCATCTATCTATCTATCTATCTATCTATCTATCTATCTATCTATCTATCTATCTATCTATCTATCTATCTATCTATCATCTATCTATCTATCTACCTACCTACCTAACCTATCTATCTCTGTCATCTCTATGTCTGTCTTCTATCCATCCATCTATCCATCCATCCGTCATGTCTATCTGACTATCTCTGTCATCTCTATCTCTGTCTGTCTTCCATCCATCCGTCTTTCTGTCTGTCTATCGACCTACCTAACCTATCCGTCATCTCTATCTGTCTCCTATCCATCCATCCATCCATCCATCCTACCTATCTCTGTCATGTCTGTCTTCCATCCATCCATCCCTATCATCCATCTATCTATCTATCTATCTATCTATCTATCTATCTATCTATCTATCTATCTATCTATCTATCTATCTATCTATCTATCTATCTATCTATCTATCTATCTATCTATCTATCTATCTATGTCATGTCTGACGATCTGTTATCTCTCTCTCTGTCATCCATCCATCCCTGCCTGCCTGCCTGCCTGCCTAGTCTGTCTAATCTATCTAATCTATCTAAAGCCAGTTTGGTGTCAATGTCAGTCACTGGCCTAGAACTAGGAAGACTGTGAATTTTAGTCCTGCCTTAAAGCATGAAGGCTGACCTTGGGCCAGCCTCCCACCCACCCCAGCCCCCACTCACCCCAGCAAACTGTTTCCAAAAAACGCACTACCAAGAAAATTGCATGGACTTGACCTGGCCCTTCCCAGGAGCCAATACTGAGTCCGAGGAGCAAAACCCAAAAAACATTACAGGTAAGTCCCCGACTTAGAACCACAACCTTGCCTCAAATTTCCGTTGCTAAGCCAGACAGCTGTTAAGTGAGTTTTGCTCCATTGACTCTGCTTGTCAGAAGGTCGCAAAAGGTGATCACGTGACCCTGGGAGACTGCGACCGTCATAAATACGAACGGGTTGCCAAGCGTCCCCAATTTGATCCCGTGAAAGGGGGATGCTGAAATGGTCATTTTTTTTCAGTGGCGTTAAAAAGTCCGAACGGTCACTGAATGGAACGGCTGTAAGTGGAGGATTACCCTGTACTTGGGAAGGCGATTCATCCCCCGACTGCTTTGTACCAACGGCGTGTATTATTTTCCTCTTACCTCTCATAACTGTCCGAACAGATCGGATCAGGTTCATTAACTGCCCTTTGATCCCTGGCTCTTCTCCGAATCCTCCGATACCTTGATCCGTTCCCCAGCCAACTGTATGGAGAAGTTTTATTTGGGTTAAAGCAAGGGTAAGATAAATAAGCAGTGATATAACTCAGTAATCTGTCTTAGAAGGAAAGGCCCGTTTCAGACCCAAACCTAATGAACAGACAAATTTCTCCTTTTTTTAAACATCGAAGGAAGGAACAAAACGAACAGAAATGAAGACGCAAAATGAAGCGTAACATTCAAAATGGCCGAAGAGCAGAATTTCCAGGAATTGGAGAAGCAGTAGAAAATTAGCTCTTCGTGGAAAACTGATCGGAGAAAATTAAAATGGTAAATGATCCGATCGTTATTGAGAAGCATCACTGTTTAAATCTGATAGATAACAGAAAGCTCTTAAATCTTGAACGCAGTAGTAATTGCTAGAATACAGAATAGAATAGAATAGAATAGAATGGAATGGAATTACAGAACAGAATAGAATAGAATGCGGAGTGGAGTGAAGTAGAGTAGAGCTGGAAGGGACCTTGGAGGTCATTAGTCCAACCCTCTGCTCAGGCAGAAAACCCTATACCATTTCAGACCAATGGCTGTCCAGTCTCTTCTTAAAAACTTCCAGTGTTGGAGCATTCACAGTTTCTGGAGGCAGGTTGTTCCACTGGTTAATTGTTCTCACTGTCAGGAAGTTTCTCCTTAGTTCTAGGTTGCTTCTCTTCTCGATCCGTTTCCATCCGTTGCTTCTTGTCCTGCCTTCAGGGGCTTTGGAGAATAGCTTGACTCCCTCTTCTTTGGGGCAGCCCCTGAGATACTGGAACACTGCTATCCTGTCCCCCCTAGTCCTTCTTTTCATAACCCAGGACAGTGCAGCTGTCATAAATACATGCCAGTTGACAAGCGCCTGAATTTTGATCACATGACCGTGAGGCTGCTGCAACAGCCGCAATCATGAAAACTGGTCGTAAGTCACTTTTTTCAGCACCTTCGACAGTCACTAGACACATGGTTGTAAGTTGAGGCCAACCTGTACTAAAAACCAGTATGTGGGAACTAGTTAAATACAGGTATTCCTTGACTTACAATTATTCATTTAGATGATCCAAGGCCTGGAGACTAAAACATACAAAGAACGGCTGTGGGACTTGGGTTTGGGCAGTCTAAGGAAAAGAAGAAATAGGGGAGACATGATAGCAGTCTTCCAGTATTTGAGGGGCTGCTACAAAGAAGAGGAGGGGGTCAAATTAGTCTCCAAAGCACCAGAGGGCAGGACAAGAAACAATGGATGGGAACTGATCAAAGAGAGAAGCAAGCTGGAATTAAGGAGAAGCTTCCTGACAGGGAGGACAATCAACCAGTGGAACAGCCGGCCACCAGAAACCGTGGGCGCTCCATCACTGGAGGTTTTTAAGAAGAGACTAGACACCTGTCTGAGATGGTATAGGGTTTCCTGCCTGAGAAGGGTTGGACTAGAAGATCCAAAATCCCTTCCAACTCTATTATTATTATTATTATGTGCTCTCTGAGCTTGGTTGCTGGCTTGCACACATTTCATTATCAATATTCATTAATACCAATAACAGAGAATATTTGCAGGGTTGAAACAAGGGGTCCTTGGTGCTATCTGAACTTGGTTTTCTTGCAGACATCTCATGACCCAATAAGGTAACATCATCAGCGCCGAGTGGGTTTTGGAATGAGGAAGGGAGGAGGAGAAGGACAGCAACTGTGGGGTCCTTGGTGGTCTCTGAGCCTGGTGGTTTTCTTGCAGATGTTTCACGACCCAGCTAGGTAACATCATCCGTGTTGAGAAAACAGTGGGTTTTGGGAGGACGACGACGACTGCAGGGTCCTTGGTGCTATGTGAACTTTTTTTTACAGTAGAAGAGTGCCAGAAAGGGACCTTGGAGGTCTTCTAGTCCAGCCCCCTGCTCAAGCAGGAGAACCTGTGCCATCTCAGACAAGTGACTGTCTAGCACCTCTTCTTAAAAATCTCCAGGGATGGAGCGCCCACGATTTCTGGAGGCAAAAGCTGTTCCACTGGTTAATTCAATCAATGAATCGATAAATCAGAATAGAGCTGGTAGGGACCTTGGAGGTCTTCTATTCCAGCCCCCTGCTCAAGCAGGAGAACCTATACCATCTCAGACAAATGACTGTCTAGTCTCTTCTTAAAAAACTCCAGGGATGGAGCGCCAACGATTTCTGGAGGCAACTTCTGTTCCACTGGTTGATTGTCCTCACTGTCAGGAAGTTTCTCCTTAACTCCAGGTTCCTTCTCTTCTTGATCAGTTTCCAACCGTTGTTTCTCGTCCTGCCCTCTGGTGCTTTGGAGAATAATGTGTCCCCCCTCTTCTTTGTGGCAGCCCCTCAAATACTGGAACACTGCTATCAAATAGAATAGGAGCTGAAAGGGACCCTGGAGATCTTCTAGTCCAGCCCCCTGCTCGAGCAGGAGAACTACACCATCTCAGACAAATGACTGTCTAGTCTCTTCTTAAAAGCCTCCTGGGATGGAGCACCCACAATTTCTGGAGGCAGGCTATTCCGAAGGAAGGAAGGAAGGAATAGAGAATAGAATAGAGAAATGAAGAATATAATAAAATAGAAAATATGGAATGGAATAGAATTATGGGATGGAATAGAATAGAATAGAATAATGGGATAGAATAGAATAGAAAATATGGAATGGAATGGAAAGGAATGGAATAGAATTATGGAATAGAATAGAATTATGGGATGGAATAGAATAGAATAGGAGCTGGAAGGGACCTTGAAGGTCCTCTAGTCCAGCCCCCTGCTCAAGCAGGAGAACCTATACCATCTCAGACAGGTGAATGTCTAGCCTCTTCTTAAAAACCTCCCTTGATGGAGCACCCACGATTTCTGGTGGCAGACTGTTCCGAAGGAAGGAAGGAATAGAGAATAGAATAGAGAAATGAAGAATAGAATAGAAAATATGGAATGGAATGGAACTATGGGATAGAATGGAGTAGAATTATGGGATGGAATAGAATAGAACAGAACAGAATAGGAGCTGGAAGGGACCTTGGAGGTCCTCTAGTCCAGCCCCCCGCTCAAGCAGGAGAACCTCTACCATCTCAGACAGGTGACTGTCTGGTCTCTCCTTGCAGACGTCTCATGGCCCAACAAGCTAACCTCATCAGTGCTGCGAAGGGGGGGGGGGTTCTGGGAGGGGAAGGTGCTCCCCGAACTTTTTTTTTGCAAACGCCACGTGACCCAACGAGGCAACGTCATCAGCAGAGGCCCCGCCCCCCGTAATTTCAACCCCAATCCTGTATTCCCTGCATCAGCTTCACCAACCCCTCCCCCACCCACCTCCCCACAGGACCCGGAAGTGGTGGCCCCCTCCTCTCCCCTCCCCCTCCCAGGGGGCTTTGCGGCGGACTCACTCCGGCGGAGGAAGCGCTCCTCGTGCAGCACCGCGATGGCGTTGACGAAGAGCAGCGCGGCCTGCAGCAGCGCGTACAGCGTGAACGCCATCCCGGCAGCGCCCGCGCCGCCGCCGCCGCCACCGACGACAACGCCGGCTTCCTCTGCGCACGCGCGGCGGCGACGGGAAGGGGGCGGAGTCGACGCGGCGCCTGCGCCGTCGCCGCCGCCGGCTTGCTCTGCGCACGCGCGGGGGCGCGCCCGGAACGTGGCGGCGGCGAGGGGAGGTCGGGGCCGACGCAACGTCACAGAAGGAGGGGGCGGGCCCTAGCAGCTACTCCCTCCCCCTTTTCACGCACGCGTGAGGGAGGGCGGGGGCCCGTCGCCTCCCTCCTCTGCTGCTTCTCCAGCCGGGCGCCCTCGGGCGACGGGCAACTAGCACACCCATCATCCGCTTCTGGCGCCCCAGGAGGACGCTAGGACGTAAAGCGAGTGAAAAGGCTCTTGATTTGAGGGAGGGGTCCTCAGACCCAGAACCTTTGCTCTGTGAGGGGAGAACTTTATTTTAGACGTTTTTTCCCGCCCTTTTTTGAAAGTTTGGAGTGCTTTGGGGTAAAATGCCCCCCGATTCCGTTTTGGCCACCAGGGGGCAGCAAGCACTTGTTTCCTCATTCTCTAGGCTGCCCCTAGTGGCGCCTGGGGGTGATTGCAGCCTCTGGTTAAAAAGCGTCATGCCTTTGTCTGAACTGGATTCCTGCTTTTTTATGCCACTTTCTGGGTTTGCCCAAGGCAGGGATAGGCAACCTTGGCTCTTTTATGACTGGTGGACTTCAACTCCCAGAATTCCTGAGCCAGCATGGGGGAACTATGGCCCCCTCATGACTCGCGGACTTCAACTCCCAGAATTCCTGAGCCAGCATGGCTCAGCTTGGAAACCTCCCCCTTTCCCCTCAGCATGGCTGGCTCAGGAATGCTGGGAGTTGAAGTCCACAAGTCATAAAAGAGCCCAGGTTGCCTACCCCTGTGCTAGTGCAGCCCCCTGCTCAAGCAAAAGACCCTGAACCGTTTCAGACAAATGGCTGTCCAATCTCTTCTTAAAAACCTCCAGGGTTGGAGCATTCACCACTTCTGGAGGCAGGTTGTTCCACTGCTTAATTGTCCTCACTGTTAGGAAGCTTCTCCTTAGTTCCAGGTTGCTTCTCTCCTTGATCAGTTTCCAACCATTGTTTCTTGTCCTGCCCTCTGGTGCTTTGGAGAATAGAATAGAATAGAATAGAATAGAGCTGGAAGGGACCTTGGAGATAATAATGATGATGATGATGATGATGATGATGATGATGATGATGATGATGATGATTATGTTGGGAGGGACCTTGGAGGTCATCTAGTCCAGCCCCCCCTCCCCCCGCTCAAGCAGGAGAACCTTTACCATCTCAGACAAGTGACTGTCTAGTCTCTTCTTGAAAATCTCCAGTGATGGAGCACCCACGATTTCTGGTGGCAAGCTGTTCCACTGGTTGGTTGTCCTCACTGTCAGGAACTTTCTGCTTAATTCCAGGTTGCTTCTCTCCTTGATCAATTTTGTTGTGTTCTTTGTATTCCCCCCCCCTTAATCCCCTATGCATATCCTGATCACCCATTAAGGGTGATTGCCCTTCACCATTGATCGCCCATTAAGGGTGATTGCCCTTCACCATTGATCGCCCATTAAGGGTGATTGCCCTTCTCCATCTGCATACAGTTTCATGCCCGTTGCTGGTTGGCTAACTAGCAAC